GAAATGATGAGAGTAATAAGGGTAAACATGAACTAAAGACATATCTAAAGTTAGTATAATCCATGGTCAAACTCCTTGGTTAGGAATAATCCTTTGTACAATATAAAAAACTCCTATGAAATTTTGTAACCAATTATTGCTCAATGGTTTAGCTATATTTTTTAATCTCTTCTACATTATCTTTGATTACTTAACTAAACCCAATGAACACCTCATGTCCTTATAAAAAAATCATATAAAATATATTTAATTGGTACACTTGACTTGCACAATTGTTGGTTGACTCTAATAGTTAAAATTGTATCTTTTTCTAGAAATTTCAGAATGATATTTTCAATCTATCACTATATATCAAATCCTAAATCACTACATAATCAACATGATATTCATATTCCTTATGTCACCTTTAAACTTTATATTTAAAAAATCATTTTTTGGTAAACAATGTGCCCCTTACAGCTCTATCTATTGTGCAGTGTGACTCAATAATTAGTAGTCGTCAATAGAAAGTTCAATTCATATGCCAATTTTTACGATATAAAATTATTTTCCATTGTACTATTGATCAACATTGTCAATTTTTTGTCACTTGTTAATCTAATGATATAATTAAAAATGATTTCAATGTTAAATTCTCATTTATATCTTATGTGTCTATATTCTCTCACTTGTTATATCTTATTTTGATTTATTAATGTTTTCATCCTTAGTTTAAATTAGGATTAATTACAATTCTCATTTACAAATTTTTCTAAATATAACTTTTCATCACAAGAAAAATGGAGATGTTTTACTTACCTTTCCTCCAACATCAACTTAGTAAGGATTGTTGGATGTCTTTTGACGTATTTATGTACCCCTTGTGGCTATAGACTTTCCACTCATGTTGTTGACACTAATTGTAATAATTACTTGGTCTTTAAACTCCATATTTACATTAAAATATATTGACACACAATAAGGGCTAGTCTTCACCATCTTGAGGTGTGTAATTCTTAGTTGAACTTAATGATGATTTATTCACTTCTATGATAGTAGTGTTCATAATGGTATTAAAGCTACTAGATTTAAATAATTTCAATTCAATTTAAAACTCGAATTTCAAACCTTAAATGAAAGTGATATATATATAAGCTTCTTCAGAAAGTTTCTACATTGTTGTAGATAATAACTCAAATTTCCTCTAATCAATTGCCAAACTTTATTTTTTAATATTTAAAAACTGATTTCACTAATTATTTACCAATTGAAATCCAAAAGCTAATGCATCCAATGTTTCATGTTCTCTCAATGTTTGAAAATATGATAAACCTCAATCCATCTTAACTACACCAACGTTTCATTATCCAAATTGATCATAATTAATTTTAATTGTTGTCAACTTCTGATTATGTGGAAAGTAAAGTATAGTTCAACTCAAAATGTTTGTCCATTGAGAATTCCTTTATGATAAAAAAGTTATTTTCAGATGGCATCCTCCAATACTACTTGTAGTTGAGTGCTCAATTAGTACATTAATTTTGACCTCCTAAGATTATGTTGTATTCAGATCATTATTGACTTGGGGTCAAACACATGTATCCCTCACATCACCTTGTGATGGAGTGTCTATCTCACTTGCTAAAATGACTCTTTCCTTGTTTTTATGCTACACAATTTGGGTGTTGTTTAGACAATGTGTAAGCTATGTCATTACATGTGTCACCTCTCTCCTTGTGCTTTCTATTGATGTGATCTTAATATATCTATGTATGTAGCTCACCTCTTTCAAATATTCTACATCTTTTTCCAAGTTCTTGTACCTTTTGTTACTAAGCATCATAACTCAAATACCAAGTTGATAGATTCATTAAAAATTGAGAGAATATTTAGAAGTATAAGAGGATATAGATGGGTTTCAAAGGAAATCTTAAAAGATGATTGAAGACAAGTTTGAGAGCACCCAGCTCTCCCAATCAAATTCTTTACCAAAAGTACCTTTAGTTTGCTCTATAAAGGTACATATCCATCCTTAATGGGTCCCCACTTAGCCCATTAACCATCTTGAACCTTATCTTTTTCCTTCTAAGTATATCACAATGGGTCTACTATCAAACCCAACAATATTGGGCTTAACAAGATCACAATGTTAACAGCTACCACAAAAGCACAAATATCCTCAAAAGGGAACAATTCAAATAATTGAAGATGATCACAGAAAAGGGGAAGAAAATAGACATAATTCTCAAAGGTGTTAATTAGTGTCATAACTCATCTAGAAATTATCAATTTCAGTAATGAAACTTACATGAACAAAGTAGAAGATACCAATTATTTTTGGGATGAAGAATATCTAGTTGTCCTTTCCCAAGAGCTACCAATGATGTCTTGTTCACCAATGGTGAGTCTTGCCTCACCCCTTTTCAATCTTACTCCCTGTCATCGCTCTTTCTTTCTCATTTCAATTTTTCTCTTATTTATAGAAATCTTGCTCTATTTTATCTACTCTTTAATAGGAAGCAACATTGAATTTTGTATTGTTCAATGCTAGCCTAAAAAGTGCAGCCTTTTCTTTGAGATTTATCAAGTACCCTTGAATTCTTATGCTACCAAGTTTTATAGTTGATCCTAGGCTGTTGCATGACTCATAAGCAAGAATATACGGAATATCACACTTATATTGAGATATTTGACTTCATGTACTAACTTTATTAGAATGAATGCTTCAATAGTGTACTAAGATAGTGGGCTTTATATGCTAGTTTTCTTTATTTTCTGATATGATTCTCATGTTCCAAAATATTAAGTGGAGTATATGGAACTAATTAGATTTCATATTTAATTTGATACTTTCTTTTCACATGTGATTTCTTTGTATAGAGATATTAAGATGATGGATTGAAACTATTATGTAATCTAACTTGTCATATGCTAAAAAACTAGCCTTATATACTCTACATATACATATATATTCTTGATGATGTACTGGATTTTCTACTACATTATGCAACATAACTTTTTGTATGTATTGATTCTATCTGATGTATTTTAATATTTTGCAAAATAAAAATGATATACTAAACTATTTTTAATATGATGCATTATGCTCTTTGAAGAAAATATAAACTTCTTGCATTTTGAAATATTGTATTTGAATAGCATTTGTAGTTCTGGTTTCAAGCATCTTCTTAAGCACAATTTTTAATCTGTAAATTTTGTAATTGAAACTTGTTCAAAATAACCTTTGGTAAAGACATGGTTATCATTGATAGTTTTATTGAAATGCAGAAGAAAAGGGAAAATGAAAGCCTTTTTCCCTTTAAATGTCCATCCATCTTCAAAATAACCTTTGGTAAAGACATGGTTATCATCATGAATCTTATGGTGAAAAAGATGTTGACTTCATAATTTACATTAAGTGCCATAACTTGAATTGCCACCTGTTAAGAAGAAGAAGAAGAAGAAGAAGAAGAAGAAGAAGAAGAAGAAACCAGGATTAAAATGGAGCATTTTGAATTGTGGTACTATCATCATGTACGTACATTATTTGATGGAGAGAAAACACATGCATACACATTTATCAACAAAGTTGATGTAGATCACATTAAAGTATCATATTAAGAATTTTCATAGAAGATAGATATCTTTTACATCCGTAGCATAAAATCATTTATCCTAAAACTAGTATTATAGTATGCAACTTAAAAGCTTGACACAAGAGTAAATCCATGCCTTTCCAGTACACAAGCTAGTTAGTCGTGATGTTTTTGCCATTACACACGTCATTCAAGGTCACGTGAAACTTGGGCAATAATCTTAATTAAAAAAAAAAGGAAAGGAAAAGAAACATAGTTGTTTATTTGCATTCTCATTGATACGGATAAAAAATTATAACCACGCTCGTTGCATGGCAATTGTTCATCATTTTAGGAAGGGAATCTCAAAGCCTCCCCCACCGCCAGGCCCTCCCGCCCATCCCCCGCCACGAGATCCCAACGCAAGCGACAACCGGCGCCGGAGGACCACCGGAACTGGCAAATAAGACGACCACGAGGAGGGCCGCAGGGGGCGCCAGTGGCGAAGCGTGGCGGAGGGCTTCCTCTCTCTCCGCCGCTACGTGGGCTCCCCGCCGGAGCCGCGTGGTGCCGTGCGCCGCCGCGCTTCGGTTCCTCCAGATCCCGCTCGCTGGATAGATAGCGAAGGCTCTTCTTCTACGTACTTGAACAAAATATCGTTTCTTTTGGCTAATTATTGCCATTTTTTGTTCTCCAGCATAGCATAAGAACGCCTTCATGTCTAGATAAAATAATTAATATTTCATATTCCATATCTAGGAAGGTTAAAGATTTCAGTTTTGGCTTCATTCACCTACAACTAAATAGTATTATAATCACTCACCTCCCTACTTAGTTAAAATGTCACTCACCGCCGGAGCCGCGTGGTGCCTGTGGCGGAGCTGGCTAATTAATGACATTTTTATTATTCAGCATAGCATAAAAAGGCAAAAAAATAAATATAAAATTAAATAAATGATTATTTTCAATGGGTTTCATTTACCTCCACTTTAATAATATTATAATGACCCCCGCGTCCGCCTGGTTGAATAAAATGTCATTTAGTTGGCTAATTAATACGCTTTGTTTACTCTTCAACATAGATTAAACATGCCCTCATGAGTTACGAAAAATAAAATAAAAAATGAAATAAATATGCTGTCAATGGCTTCATTCACCCCCACTTTAATAATATTATAATTGGCCCCGTAGTTTATAGTCAACTGGCAATTAGGAGTAAGTAGATATTATAATACTCTGAGGTCGAGGATAATATAAGTGGATTCATAAGGGGTTATCTGCAAAAAACCCCCATGGTTTCTCCCTCTTAAAGCCGTGTCTTGTGGACGAGGTTTGAGCCGGCGTTCAGTCTCTTCTTCCTCCCTCCAGTGCCTCTGGTTTCGACGGCGAGGAGGGCAGAAGAAGGGGAGGATTAGGTTTTGCAGTTGGGCGGCGCAGGAGGGAGCCATGGCCGCGAGCATCTCCTCTGCGGCGACGACGACCTTGAGCATCCGCAAGCTCTGCGGCGGCAGGGGCTGCGCTCCGGCGGAGGCGCCGCCGAGGCAGCAGAGCAATTTCCTCTCCTTCTTCGACCCGCTCCCCTTCGCCGTTCTCGGCCGCTGCCACCGCACCGGCGACGGCGGCGTGAGCATGGCGCATCCGCTTCATCTCAGGACAAAGAGGCGGAAGGCGGTGACGCTCTGCTTCGTCTTGGCGGACGACAGAAGGCAGGTGGAGGGGGCGGTGGCGCCGGCGGAGGAGGAGGTGGCGGCGGCCGAATCAGAAGGCGAAGCGATGACGACGACGAGCGAGATCCAGTTCGAGGAGGCGCTCGCTCTGGGGGCGTCGGCGGCGCGGGCGGCGGAGCGGCAGGCGAGGAAGAAGGCGGAGCGTCAGACCTACCTCGTGGCCGCCGTAATGTCGAGCCTCGGGATCACCTCCATGGCCATCGCTGCTGTCTACTACCGCTTCTCTTATCAGATGGAGGTACCTCTTATCCTCCTCTCTCCTCCTCTCCTCTCTAATCCATTACAGAAGCCTGAACTTTCTAATCCGAGACTGATTAAACGCTCCTCCCGAATCTGTACAGGGCGCCGAGGTTCCCTTCTCGGAAATGTTCGGCACCTTCTGCCTCTCCGTCGGCGCCGCCGTGAGTCCCTCCGCCTCCTTTCTCCTCCTCCGCCGCCTCCACCGCTGGCCGCGGCGAAGCAGCCATCAATCGATCCGAACTGACGAAATGGAGTGGGAAATCTCGCCTGCGCAGGTGGGGATGGAGTTCTGGGCGCGGTGGGCGCATCGGTCGCTGTGGCACGCGTCGTTGTGGGAGATGCACGAGTCCCATCACCGCCCGAGGGACGGCCCCTTCGAGCTCAACGACGTCTTCGCCGTCGTCAACGCCGTCCCCGCCATCTCCCTCCTCTCCTACGGCTTTTTCCACCGCGGCCTCCTCCCCGGCCTCTGCTTCGGCGCCGTCAGTCCCCCATTTTCCCCACCGGCCCTAACGTTAATCCATTCTTCATCTCTTGATCTTTACTATTTTTATCCCAAATCCTTCATAATGCATTCCTAATTCCTTCTTTTAATTTTTTTTTTTTTAGTTTTAAATTTAGTGTGGTAGCTGATGCATACACGTGTCGCGTTCTTACAGGGCCTCGGGATTACGCTATTCGGCATGGCCTACATGTTCGTCCACGACGGGCTGGTGCACCGCCGGTTCCCCGTAGGGCCAATCGCTGACGTGCCATATCTGCGCAAGGTTGCGGCAGCCCATCAGGTTTCGTTCTCCCCCGCCTGCTTACCGCCACCTGCCAGTTAACATGCTTACGTGGCGCCGGTTTCTTGTCCAGATACACCACTCGGAGAAGTTCGAAGGGGTGCCGTACGGCCTCTTCCTCGGCCCGAAGGTAACAGGAACCTGTCCTCTTTTTTGCACATAAGTCCTTGCGCAGTTATTAATTTGTTGGGGGTGAGGGGAGGGGGTTTCGCAGTTTTTAAGAAGGCTAACTCTAGAAATCTCTCTGATGGGTGATGGTGAGGGCGGGTGTGATCGAGACTGACGATTGATGTCGGCAGGAGTTGGAGGAGGTGGGCGGCGCCGAAGAGCTAGAGAAGGAGATCAACCGGAGGATGAAGCTCAGCAGCGTCGTCTCCCAGAACGGCAACAACGCCGGCGGGAGGTGACCCCGGCGGCTCGTCTCCCCCTTTCGAGAAGGAGGTATTTATTTGCAGGTAGGAAATGGGAGAGCAGGGAGGAGGAGCGCCGTCACGGCGGAGGGGGGGGGAGGGGCGGGGGGCAAAGTGTAGAGGGGAGCCTTCTGCTCTGTAACATATCATCTTCCATCCGTTGAGATTATTAATTACTCTGCATGGAGGCAACCCAATGCAATGAATCACTGTGAATTTAGATCCAACCATGCACACCGTTCCAGGTCGCCGGAATCCGATCCCCTTCTCGCCGCCACGACTCTGAAGAACGAAGGAGGTCTTCGGAGAGTGCTAGAACCAGAATCCTCGTCCCGGCATCGGTTTTCCGTCTGATGTTCTTGCCAGATGAAGCTGATAGTGTATGCAATCTGTACGTCTAGAAAATCACTAATTTCGGGAGAGAGAGCTAGAACCAGAAGGCTTCGTAATCCTGATCCTGATTTCGGGAGTAGGATTTGGAAGCCGAAGCAAACGAACCAAATGAATTCCGATAGCGAAAGTCTGATATGTTCGATGAGCTCGACCGTCTAGAGAACCAAATCCCAGCTCTCTCTCCCTCTCTCTCTCCACATCGCTGTCGGGAAAAGCGTAGTCTGGAGATTCGAGAGGCTTCGGGAATGGGGCGGCGGCGGAGGCGATCAACGCGGCCGTCGCCGGTCCACGCACCACGCGTCGCCTCTTGGGCTCCTCTCCCTCTCTCTATCTCTCCGGTGATGAGCGGGTGGCGGCGGCGGCTCCACGTCGACGTCGTCGCCCGGTCGATGCGTTCTTCGGTGGTTGACTCCGTGTTGACGTGGAGCAACACAGAGCCGCGTGTCGCCTCCCTTTCTCCTCAACGGGGCTTCCAGTGCCTTTTTCTAGAAGCCCCTTCTATAAAATTTTACTGTGCAGAGAGAGAGAAAGAGAGAGAGAGTACTCGGCTCAATTGGTAATTACTAGATTCTGATGTTATTGATCGATTTGGTCCGTTCGCCCTTGACGGCGGATGATCTTCATTACCCATTAACGAGCCCTGTGCTCCAGGTTCTTCGTCAGCTCCACATTCAACAGAAAAAGAGGAATTTTCTTTGTGCTCTCTCTCTCTCTCTCTCTCTCTCTCTCTCTCCAGATTAACAAAACCCCATGCGCGCTCCATCGTGGGGTCTCTCTCTATATTTATTTAGTTCCCCGTCGTCCTCGTGGAAAGCTGGCGTTGTTTTCAAATCAGCACAGCGATGACGAAGAGGCGCCGTCCTTATTATCTTACGATAATAGAACGCCCACGAGAAAAAGACGACTTTTTATTAAAATAATGCTTCAATTAACCAGTTAGGTGGCAGCGGGTCAATCCATCAAAACCAGATTATTACTCCTTATTTGGACAATTTCCCTGGTGATCAAATTAAAAAAAAACCCTTTTTACCAATTAAAGAAAAGGGTGACGAACTCAGAGCAGACGACAACAATGAATAAGTGAGACGAACTCATCACGGCTCTGTGGTCAACGCTGGTGGAAGATCTTGCAGAATCGGAAATCACCCAGAGAAGGAAGAAAGATGAAGATGAAGAAGATCGCGAATCTCGACGACGTGGAAATCTCAAGAGGTAGTGGGTTGACCAAACTTATTGAGGGAAAATAAGATCGCAACAGTGGAGATTACACAGCCTACATAGATACAGCCTCTTATGGATCCTCATCAAACACTGGGAGCTAGAATTTACAGGGGGGCGAGCTACAGCAGCTGAGCTTCTTCTGAGATCTACCCACAACAGCTGAGCTCTTCACAACAAATCAGGCAGCCAGAATTAGGGAAGAACGTAGTAACATCCTGTGAACACTACCTGTACAGGAGGCGACTCACTCCATGGAAGCATGCTTTTTTAGACCTCTTTAATGGCGGTCAAAATATAAGGTACAGCCCATGGAAAGGCAGGCAGGCAGGCAGGGCTCCAGATCCTGTACGACTCATTGTGGTGTGTCCGATCTGGGCCATGCCAAAGAGTGCAAAGGATTTGATTACCTTGGGGATTTCCATTCTCAGATATTTATGATGATTCGCCCTTGGCCCTGCAGAATTAATGAGCAAGAAATAAATAACCAGATAGAAAGAGGAAGAGGGATCAGAGAGCAGCCATCCTCATCGTCTTACATGAAAGGGACATTCATGGGGTCGTTGGCTTGGAGAGCGTCTTTCACCCCGCAGGGTTTGATCTCATCGTGGCTGGCGTCATATGAAGACAGCAATCTCCTCTGCTTGAAATGAACAAAAGATTTAAATTGGTTGTATAAACGGGCTCATTTTATCTCACAACCATTAAATAAGCCTTCACAATTAGTGAACAAGAGATGAATTTATTATGTGAAGATGGTAGCTGTTTAGCGGCAGCCTGCCTGGTCCTTTTTTTTTTTTTTTTTTTTTTTTCTCCAAAAGAGGCAAAGCTGCGGTGACAGATGGGGAGGGGAGAAGAACCAATGAGGTGAGAGATAAAGAAATAATCAGAAAATAAGAATGATGGGAGAAGGGAAAAGACAGAGAGAGAGAGAGAGGGAGAGAGAGAGAGAGAGAGAGAGAGAGAGAGAGAGAAGACAAAAGGTAGAAGGGGAAAGGAGGATCAACCAGGTTCCCTCTCATCTTGAGGAAGAACAGCCCATAAGGAGTAAAAGAATGGCCAAAAGAAGAATTGACACATTTGGACTAGCATCTGAAGGAAGACCAGAAGACCACGCAAAGTCACATGAACACAAAACGTAAACAAAATATTTGATCGTGGAAATAAGCAACGTGATTTCCCATGGAGCTGCCACTGGAGTGATTTAGACAAAGACTACTGAAACCCAAACCATGAGGAAAGATATCCCCACGAGTTAAATGGGAAAGAACACTTACATGATCCTCAAAATCAGGGCTTGTCAAGTTGACCGACAAGTTTTTCATAAGCAGCATCACCTGGATAAGAAAATGACAACGCGTTTAGAAATTCTCCCCTGGAGTGCCACCTTATCCACACAGGAAAACCAAACGGAAGGAATCTAGAGAGAGATACTAAAAATACTATATCTAAAAATGTGTAAGTCCTTAGGATCATAATTAATCTAAAAATGTGTCAAAAATAAAATACTATATCTGAGCACAGACAAATTGGTTAAGAGAGAGAGATCAAGAGAGTGTTCAATCTCAACATAAGAAATATCACTGTGTAAGTCAATAAATTCCATTATGACTATATGACTAATAAAAATAAGATGTAAGCGATGGCAATAAAGCTAGTCATCATTCAGGTTGTTGGGAGCAGAGCGTATATCGATTCCGTTTCCACCAAATGCCACAGCGCAGGTAGAGCGCATCAGTACTACCCCCACCCGGCTATCTATCTTCATATTTATTAATGTTAAACCTTGTCAATTCTATCCCGCTGAAAACCTGTTATTTCTTTGCGAAAGTTTTGAGGATTTATGAGCATTTGGCATGAGCAGCCTCGTTAAAATTTGAAGATGGATAGTTGGTAAAGGGGAGGGGATGGGAGAGTGTGTAATGCGCATATAAGCCTATAAGCTAATGGGGAGGAAATTCGGGTGAGGTGTGTTGCTCATGAAAGAACAGTGAAAGTTGAGTTGCCATGAGGAAGGGGAGGGACTTCAGAGGAACCTAACGGGGTAGGTATGGGGAGGGGTGGGGGAATGTTGGCAGAAAATCGTGCAATGGAATCGCCAACCTGCTGGCAGAAAGGCCATGTCCATTCAACATCTTATGCAGAGTAGAGAACGAAGTTTTGCAGTGAATAAACTCAAAAGTATTCATTACTTACAGTTTCCACGTCAATCGGATCCATCTCCTTTAGTTTCTGCAAGTGACCACTTGTGTTTGGGTCGAACACACTTCCAATGAAGCTATACACTTCAACGAAGTCTGGCATCACTGCAAAACCAAAAATATATATAACACGCCATGGAAATGAAAAACCAGTGAATGGGACAGCTGGGATATTCATAGGAGTCAACTACAAGTAAGACCAGTCAAAAAAGGATCAATCCAAGGTTATCTGGATCAGATCTTGATCCAGGTAAGAACTGACTGTCTCGAATGACTGATTTTTATTTGGGTAAAAGAAAAAACAGAAATTTCCAAATCTATTAAAGCCACTCTTTTTTTTTTCACGAACCTGACACCTTCCCCCTTCTCAAAGAGGAAACAAGAAATCAGCCAGACGAATCACAAAAATGCTCTTCCTTATGGAGGAGAGCATTTGAGAGCAGAAAATAGGTTTAGAAAGCCCTCAACAAAGGAAGAGGAAACGGGGAGGGTAACATATTCTAAGGAAACATGGTTAGGACGCCTAAGCATTGCAAATGTCTCCAACATGTTATTTCTGTTGGTTGTGAACAAATGGGTAGACATCTGTGCATGCAGGGAGGAAGAACTATCTTGGAGTAGAGCTCAGAAGAGCTCTTACAGGAGAAGACAAGGAAGAACTATCACATCAGAACATGTGCTTTTCAGCTGCGACCTTACTCCAGTCCAAAGGGAATTATATTTAGGGCTGGGGTATAATATAACACTTCTTCTTCAATCAAAACACCACATAAGAATCAACACTGGCCCATATAGCACAGAGTGCATATGCCCTGGTTTACCCATTAAACATGGGGGCATCGGAAGTCTGAGTGCTCTACATGTCCTGTCCAGAGGTTTGGATTCGTGCATCAAAGCCCATTAATGAAGTTACTCCGTAATGGTGACAGTTCTCTTCCTATCGTTCAACGATTAAGCTTACATAGAAGGAAAGAATATATAAATATATTATCATCCAACGATTAAATGCCCTCCGAGTAGAGGTAGATTGTTGATCAAATTGGCAACACACTTAAGCCCACACTTATCTTCCCAGGAAATTTAACAAAAGAGAAGGAAGCATTAATAAAGCTTTTCCAGGAAAACCCAGAATTAAATATAGAAGGATCAGCTCATTAGTAGTTGACAACAACCTCAAGATTTTAAATGGAACAATTCATGCTCGTTCATCAACCTACGAGAAAAACAGAAGTTGTGGTGCCATCGACCTGTAAAAGAATGTTTGGCCAAAAAACCTTTCGATGTTAACTTAGTGTCGATAGAATTCTTATTCCTGAAAGCTTAAATATTATGCACGAAGTAATTGCATAACATTTCTTTGGTATCCTCAACTGCAGTGGTATACAGATATGGATGTGTATTACAGTGAAAATGAAAACTTACCACGAAGTGAAGCCATGTGATTTTGTTGAACAGTTGTATCAGAAATCGGCCATGTCCCAGAAGGGCTTTCGGTGCTACTTGAACAGCAATTATTAACAACAGCAGATCCCCCAAGACGAGCATCATCTGGAAAGGCATTTCTCAAGTCAGAATTCTTGAAGTGATATCATCCATACTCATTGGAAATAAACAAAATAACAAGAACCTTTGGTTAGGTTTGATGCGCTAAGTGGTGGAACAGAAGTACTATGAGACCATGATGCAACTGTTGTTCCAGTGCCAGAGCTCCTCAACACAGATGATGAATCCATCCTTGTAGCAGAGTTTGGTTCTAGCAAGCAAGATGCTTGAAACGGTCGGCTGCCTTGGGACAATAATGGAGCTGGAAATTTTCCAAAATTTGAAGTCAACAAAGTTTACAGAAAAACATAACAGTAAAATAAATAAATGTTCAATCGTTTACCGTTTTTAGAGGCTTTTTGAGGATAGGGGTGTGCTGCTTTACGCTTGGGGCGAGGTGGTGGTACATGTTCACTTGTCCCGTTCTTCTGAACCTTCAGAAAATATTTCTGTGCATGGCTTCTAATCTGTGGAAATCTAACTCTGTAAGAGTAGCTTACATGAAAAGGAATCGTACACAATTTTCGCGGTTCAGAGGGAAGATATTAGAAAATAACGATTACTTAGACAAAAACAATTACATGATGCTACTCAGGAAAAACGGGTCCAATTATTCACTAGCCAGTGATACAGTCAATATGGATGTCACAATTGTCCTCTGTATTTATTGCTTCGCACATAACATTGTTTCCGTTTTAGGACCATCCTTTCTTTCAGCACAATCCTTATGTCGTGTCACAATATTTCAACAGTTTCGTTTATTACAAAATGGAAGACTCCTTCTAAGTTCAATCTAATCCATCCAAAAAATATCAATCAACACCAATATTATCATACATAATCTCAATACTGCCGAACTAATGCCCTGGTGTTTACCTTTCTGTTTATACAAAAAAGTCAAATCAGAAACGACCCAGAAAAAGCCTTCACCAAAACTGAAGAACCTCTCTTTTATTCACCAAAGAATTCATGGCCCTGATTGAACGGGATCATCAAGTTTATCAAAATTCAAAGAAAGAAACAGGGAACAGCACATATAGTATCAATGAGGTCTCCAACAAAGCATGTAATCCAGCAGCTCTACAGACCACAAGGGGAAAAAACAATATTAAACACCCAGATTCCCAAAGCGAAGTACAATCATCTCAAACCAGGATGGAACCATGGCTCACCCTCTCATTATGTTAGAATCACTAATTAATATCTTCAGAAAATGGCTTTGCTTCTGGCATGTCCAATTGCTCCTCTGGTTACATGTTTGTTCAAAGGGTTCGTTTACAATAAGCCATCATTTCAGTCACCAATGGGCAGTCATACGCAATGCCAATCCCAATGAACTTTTGGCCCTCATTGTCATTGTCATTTTCACCCCTATGAACTTGCACTCTCCCAATGGTAATGTGTCTATTGACAAAAACCTGAGAGATTCTTCACGTCGTTAACCTCTTCCTCCCCAAAGTTGCTTTAAAAAAGTCGAGGGCCATTTACCTTTCTCTACCCAAGTATCATAAAATTATGCCACCAGTGCAGAGTTATCTTCAACAGACCGATATAGTAAATGAAGATGTTCCTAAGAAGCTGAAGTTCCAGAACACATCTTTCCAGAATTGCCTTCCAGACATTTGCTATATAAATGTCAATACCCACGTTCAACATATTAGTAGTCTGTATAGTATCTCTCAATTTGAAGACAGTTGTTGCGATAGTCAGTAAATCTCACACTATAGCTTCCCAACAGTTGTGTTGGAATCCCGAACATGGATAAGCAAAAAGTTGTTAAGTTGACAGAACGGCCACAGATTACGGTAATCTATGACCAAATGAAGAATAGTTTTCTTTTCCATCCTTCAATCTTACGATTTTTTTCCAATCCGAGGATTGTGTAGGTGATGCACATAAACAAAGTGCAATCCCCAAATACGAAATAGAATTTTTTTCTAATGATACATTGCCTTAAAGCATGGGGCGCCTCTTTCTCTACATCCATCCCACAATCAAGCTATTATCACAGATTACCAAGAGCACCCTTTCTCTACGAAAAATTCTAACATCAGTCTAGTTTATACATCAGCGCCTCCTCTGGTTGAACGAAGAAAATGATGTTAGCTGCACATAGATGACGTGTCACTAATAAGCAATGTGCATAAGGCCAGAATCCCCTGATTTTTCCAAATCCTGTTCTCTATCGTATTTAGCAAGCATTTCAGTGATAACGAAAAAACAGGAAAGGAAACAAACGGCCTCCTTGGCTGAACTCTCTCCTGATACAAAAGACTCCTCTGGGCACCTTATTAATCAGCAGAGCGAATATGGCAGAAAAATATGACAACCAAATTCATCCATCATCCAATATCATCTGATCTAGCACTTGTAAAAGGTCTCTTATCTCGCTTTGCATAGGCCTCGAAAAGGTCCAGCCAAAGAACCGAACTTCCCTCTTAGGTCTTCTTAGCCCGTATGCATCCATTAGCCACAATCAATTTCTCATAAATTTCCCACACCATAAGTAGGCACTCTAATTCCGACTTTTCATTTTGTTGGCCACTCTCTCTGAACTACAAAATGCTTTTTGATGACGCTCCACAACCCTAGTTTCCAAGGCAACAGGTTTGTAATCCTGAAACCTCTTATCTTCCGTTCCTCAGTTTCAGTGGTAAGATGGGCTTCCTTATTTCCTTCCTTATAAAACTCCACGATATCCACATTAACTTCTCGGGTTTTCCTTAAGACTGGAGGAAGATAATGTGGAATCCATCCAGCCCAGTTCTTTGACTCTGGTTAGGGCAAGAATAGCTCTCCACGCCTTGCCCTTTCAATAAAGCAACAGATCATCCGATGAAGATGGCTTCCAGCCATCTTCCATCGTGAAAAACCTGGAAAGAACCCATTATATTTCCTTGATTTCTTCTTCCTTAGATAAGTGGTCTACATGCATCAATCATAGCATATTTCTTCTCCTAGCACTCATCCAATCCATCACACACTCTGCTTAATATATATATATGGTGATTGCTTCTTCATCAAGCATCATTGCTTATTATGATCCATCCAGTGCCTCCGTGTATTATCGTCTATCCCTTGTCTCCTGCTCTGGGAACATTAAGCAATCTACCATTTGGCCAATTCACGTCTGTCTTTTTTAATTGTGTAATCACACTAGTCATGTTTGATCCTGCCTCCCTCTATAATCAGTCCAACTCCTCACAAGTAGCTCCTGATAGCCCCCCATCACCCAAAGAATGCCTCTTCATAATGTATCGGCATTCAGGTCCACCAAGCAAATTCTTATTATTGATTTTCTCCTCAACGAGTTGCGGCACACAAAAATAAAGAAAAAATCAAAGGCAGCTGCAGCTGCACTAGCTGCTGACAATCATAATATGGAGAATATAATTCCTCTTTGCTATGCTACTTGTTGACTACCAGAGAACACAAAACATAAAACAGAAACAAACCCTTTTACAACATAAAATACTACAGCCTTCAGTGTTTTTGAATAGTCAATCAAAAATAACATATTTTACCGTAGGTTGCATGTCTGACCCAGAGGAGACATACCTGGATTACTGTCTTCGAGCCAACAAAAGCCTCAATCTTCTTCCAATCACGATCAAAGCTAAAATAACAAGATTTGAAAAAATGAGACCCCAAATACGCCAATTTAAAATGTAAATACACTGATAGAGCAAAGTAGATCTACTGTCTCACTAGTCCAGGGAAGCATAGAAATTCGAAACCAAAGCTAAAATTGTGAACTCATGTTTCATAATTTTCTTTCAGCCGTTTAATTTAGCCACCAGCAGCTGGGACACTCTCCCAATGTAAATTAGTCATCTTTCTCAGCATACTAGCTTTCAGAAACCTACATGGCTCCCTCATTGCAGTCTCTAGTACCTACAGAATAAAAAGATCAATCTCTTCCTTCAATGTCTTAGACAGCATAAGACAGTTAAAGATAGCCATAATTCCAGCCATCCCTCAAGGAGACAGTATCTTTGATTTCAAGCCATACCGTTTTCTTTGAAACCCTCCAAAACAGCGCTCAGTTCATTCCTTGATAAAACTCAACCCCAGAAAGAGGTATAAACATTTGCAACATCCCAATCTCTCCAACTCATATGATAATAATTTTCAAATAATTTTCAAATACTCAGGGTCCTCTCTTTGATTTCTGTTGTTTGCCCGTAAGCAATGTTAAGAAAGTTCATAGTGAATATTTTGGGCTTCAATAACTAGAGGGAAGATTTGATGTGGTTAAATCAAATCATCATGGAAGAGCTTAAACTCATCTTTATGCTCAATTAGTATGGTAAACATAATATACGCTAATTTTGGGGAGAGGTAAATAAATACGCCCATAATGATGGCAGAAATACTCATCGAAAGGAGCTGTCCCTAAAATTGCATTGCCACAGATCTCATTGATGCTTTACTCCGACTTTTACCAAGAATCATGAAATATCAACAGACTATCAATCCTCCAAGTGATTGCTCAATTTATATGCTTTTCTCACATATGATCCTAAATATCCCACATATTAACAAAAATGGTGATCAAAGATTTTTTTAATGATGACAATGAACTACTTGATCCATCTATCGGAATCTTTGCAGCAGAAGTTTCCATCTTGCTACCCTATCTCTATCTTTACTTGTTCACTTCCACCTTGAAAAGCGGGACGATCTACACTAGCAGAGCCGAAGTGATTCGCAATTGCAAGCCCCAAGTCTAATTAAAATCCCAGGGAGATTACTCCATGACCCAAATCAGAATCAGGAAAGTATTCATCTTTGAATCGGAGCAGACTCCAGACTAAGGAATCTCTAATTCATAAAGAAAGCAACTCAACAAAGCAAATCCCAACTTGATGATACCCTCAAAGCTGTAATAGCTGGACGTTTCCCCCCCAAAATAAATTAACAAGTCTACAACCCACCCAAATTCCCAGAAAGTGAAACCGTTCTAACGAAGAACGAAAGGTGCAGACATGAGAAAAATAAAAGGAAAAGGAAAGGAGCTCTACAGCTGAAGCGCCTCAAGGAATTTATCATGTTCCTGCTCCGTCCAGCTCTCCCGGGACTTGGTTATGGTGTACGGCTTCCTAATCTTCTTGCTTGGATCTTCCGTGGATGAGTTGGCGTTAACAGCCGCGGCCGACGGGGTGAGCGAGCCGTAGCCCAGGAGGGCCATCCCCGGCGGCGAGGGCGGCGGCGGCGGCGGCGGCGGCGGCGGCTGGACCTGGCGCTGCTGCTGCGGTTGTTCCACCAGGAATCCGCCCACTGGGCCGCCACCTTCCACAGTCATACGAAGTAAGGAGATCCGAGAAAACCCAAGAACACAATTTGGATCCCCCGAGCCAACCCCCTCCCCCGCCTATTCCGCCCCCTTCCTTCCTTCCCCTCCGCTCAAACTCCAACAAACGATGCTCTGCACCTTGAAAACGAAGTCGGATCTGCCCTTCTTGCGCTGCTGCTGCTTCTGCTGCCGCCACTGAATCACGAGCGAAGGAACAGGTGGCGGTGATGATGGCGATAACGACGACGGCGACGAGGGTGTGATGAGGGTGCGCCCCTTTCTGCGTGCGCTCCCAGCCAACGACTGCTTCCCTCTCTTCCTTTTCTCCCCTACGCAGCAGCATCCACAACACACACTTGCCTGTCATCCCATTAACTAGTTGCATCGTTTTCCTATTCCAAACCTCCTTAAATATTAATTTATTTTTAAAACCCTTAATAATACATATTTCCTTACATATCCAAACTTTGGATGTGCTGTTTCAATACCTGCCTCATACTAATGAATGAATGCTGGCACTTTTATGGAAAAGCCTCAATAAAATATTAAAAATAATAATTAAATCATAAATGAATTTATCTTCTGTTAAATTGGTGGATCATAAATTTTTAGTGATTAAAAATTAAATTCAACATTTTTTAATTCAAAAAATTATTATCATTAGAATCATGAATTGTCACCATGATCACTTCCTAGTCGAAGATCATGCTGGTAGCATGCCCATCTAGTCAATATAACATAATTAATATGATGCAGGAATTGAGCTTTTTATTCTCAATTATATTGGGGGTTTGCCATTTTATAGTAATAAAAACATAAATTCTACAAATTTTAATTCAAAAAATTGAAATAATAATAATGAAAATCATGAATAAAGTTTTGTGACCGTGATTGCCATATTTTCATAGATCATAGTGGCAGCATGCCCATCTAGTTGTTACTAAAACATAAATAATATGATAGAGAGAGTTTTATATTCAATTAAATTGGGGGATCGCAAATTTTTATGGTGATAGAAACCTGAATTCATCGAATTTTAATTAATTTATGGCATGAATGGTGTAGACCGAGTTGGGCTCAGTGAGATCTGACGGATCCAGACCGGCGTGGACCCAGATGGGTCCATCCGGCAGAATCGTGGACGGGGGTGCCCGTGCTTATCAACATCCCCGACCACAGGGAACGAACTTTTTGAGGCGGTACATTCCCTGGTGCGGATCCTCACGTGAGGTTAGGTGTACCCGATAGATGGATCCGATTACGAGGGGTTCTTGTGGTCGGGAGACTGGTCGTCTGGGGGGGCTTGTGGCTGAGAAATGAAGCGGGCCCACCATACGTCATCCCCACCCGCAAGAGTCAGGTTTTCATATATGACCAGAAGGCTTGTACATTGTTAAAGAAAAACACTTTCCTTTAAAAAATTGTGGATGTACACACTGTCCACGATCATGAGAAAGCATCCTATTAATTAGATTATTGCCCTCTGAATGCGGGGATCAACGCCAACACCTTTGATTCACAAGTCCCCATTAACTTAGACATTGAGTAAACGCTGAAGAAGGGTAAATCAAGAATAACTAAAAGTTGTCTAGGTGAAACAAAATGTATTTTACTCTTGTGGGCTTAATAAATAAATATTTTATGTTATCTAATGAATATCATCTAATACAAGATTTTATAGTTCACATCTTAGCTTTTATGGGATCTAGAAAGAATATTTTTTGCTAACTTAAAGAAGGTTAACTTTGGTTGAAAAAGATGGGCCTTAGATCAGATCTTATTATTTTTGATCCATCAGTCTTTGCAATTCAAGGAGGTCACTTTGGGTTCAAAAGGCCTTTCATTTCAATTCCTTTTTCCACTATGGACCGCCCTAAAAGAATCATTAGTTGGCCAGAGTTTCTTGATTTCATCCCTTGTGGATTAAGGGGGGTGATTTTATAATGTTTGTAATGTATATAAGAGTAGACATGATGGTGTGCATGTGTTGATAGGAGAGGGGAGAGGTTATAAGAGAGAGAGAGAGAGAGAGAGAGAGAGAGAGGAGGGGTACCAAGAGGGGAGAAGAACCACAGCCAAAAGAATTTTGTGGAGTATTTACTCTTTTCCTTTCTTTCTACATTGGAATAGCTAATATAAGCCTTTTAAAAGATTTTTCTTCATATATTTTTGTTTCTTCAATAGAAACTCTATCATCGTCATTATATAGCCTATGGTTGTATGAATAGATTATTGAAATGTTCCTGCTAGTTTATTATGAAGAGTTTTAACACCTTCAATGCCAGAATTGACCAAGAATTGCAAGTATCCTCAAACGATCTTGAAGACTAGAAATCCATCCATTTTGATCTATGGCTACAATAAATTTATTTTTAGTAATGATAAAATATATCATTTAAATCGTGTTATTTTTCGTCTTGGCATCGTTCTATAAAGCCCTCAATAAGTATATTTGTGACCCTCATTATTGATGTGTTCTAGTCGCCAAGAAATGAGAGTTCATGTAGCATAGTCGTCATTTAATGGGTTCGCAAACCAAACTGTCCTGCAATATATGATGCGGAATTGGGGAAGCTTCAACCCCCCTATCATACAACATATTTTCATAGTCATCCTTCGTAATTGTTGACTAAATGGCGTGTTCTTACTCTAACTCACATTTAACTGGCAGTAATTATGATTATTAAAGGTCAATATTAACTAATTATTAATAACCATAAATAATATCCACAGTCTAAATTAGCTTCCCCAGCCAACCATTGCCTGTTACATAAAAGTCAACGATAGTTTAATGCAATTACCATCTTGGGAATCTTAAACCATAGCACTTTTTATTGAAGAACATTGTAAGTCCCTGACAGCATGCAGCCTCACCAAGAGAGCTAGAAACACAGGCTGCTTCCGTAGATTTATTTCCATTGGGCCTTGATGACAATTAAACTAGCTGATTCTACAAAGTAAGAAGAGAAATATTGAAACCAACTGCACTTCTTTGGCTGACATTCATGAGAACTGGAGTCTCCTCTATTCTCCAGTCTACTGCTCTGTGTCCCCTCCTTCAAGTGACTGGCCATTCTCGGTAGAACTGAACTGAAAGGCTTCCATGGTTAGAGTGGTTCTCCAGCTTGTGTGCAACCCAGCCTGAGCTTGATGATCTTCCCCGAAGAAGAATCAAACAGTTCATAAAAATGGTCAACGCGAATTCTGTCATTAAAGGAAGAACCATACAGTAAAATACAGGGAAACCAGTTTATTTCTCAAAAATAATGAGGAACACGCAGAAATTTGATTGATATAGAGAATTTTACTAAAGAAGTTCTGTCCTCGATTAAAAAATGAAAGTCAGATGATGCCCCAGCCGAAGACCAAAGTTGACGGAATTTTTTTTATCTACCCACCAAAAAAAGAAGGAAATTTGCAACAAGTAGGCAGTCATTCGATTGAAACACTCCAAATTGGGATGCTGGTTCTAGCTTGATGCCCTTAATTCGGACAAGCTAGCCCGCCAATCCCTGTCATCTCTGGTTCAGTCATTTTTGGGAATGTGAAGACTTGTCTGTCTTCACCCCAAGACCCTTGAAAGGATCTAACCCCCTTGGTTCTTCATCACTTCTCTGTATTCACCCAAAGATCATGGAAAGGATCTAACCTCCCTGGTTCTTCATCGGTTGGGTTTCTTGAGAAGGTAAATTTTCAAAAGGGTTGTCAACATCTTGGGGTTCTCTGCAGTCTGAAGGATGAGATGATGTGGCATGGATTGGGTTCGACTTTGAGATTGACCACTCTCTAGATGCCTAAACCAAGCGACCGTAGGATTCAGACCGTGGGGAATTTATGGGGTAAGACGTTGACTAATTTGAAATGGGACTAATTTGCAGAAGAAAGGAGAAGCTTTTGATGGGCCCTGATGAACCGCCGTCTCCCACTTCAGCAAGATTTGGCAGCTTGGGGGAAGCGTATGTTTGTCGGATGGACAAGAATCAGTGCTGAATAAGGAAATCTTTCTATGCTAGAAGGGTTCTTCGACACTCACCCGGTTGAGCGACCTAGAGGAAGAAGGAGCCGCAGAAGTCAACGGGCGCCGCCCCCTAAGTAGGTCTCATAGGCTAGCTGAGCCGCCAGGAGGTCCACCACCGCCGAGCCCACCGACTTGAACACTGTCAGCTCCTCCTCACTCCTCCTCCCTTCCACTCCGCCGCTGACCAGTTCCGTCAAGGTCCCCGCTACGTCCCCCGCCGCCATGACCCCTCTCTTGAAAGCTCCCACCAGCTCCCCGGCCTCCTCCAGCGCAGCCACACTGTCCACAAACACCCTCCCCCTGGTCAACGCCTCATCGTCGCATTCCCTCATGGAAGGGGAGAAGGAGCCCACCAGATCCAGATGCGCTCCCTTCCTCAGGAATCTCCCCATCACCAGCGGCTCCGGTGAGCTCGTCGCACAGCTGACCACGTCGGCGACCCCCAACACCTCCTGGTTCAGCTCCTCCGCCACAGTAAACTCCACTCCACGGAGGGCAGCTTCTCCTCTGAGAGCCTCCACCAGGCGGCGGGATCTCTCCGCCCTCCTGTTCCAGACGACGCAGCGGCGAATCCGAGGGCGAACCAGGAGGTGGGCTCGGACCAGGTAGGGGGCAAGCCCGCCGGAGCCCACCATGAGGAGAACTTGAGAGTTCTCTCTGGCCAGGAACTTGGCGGCGAGGGCGGAGATGGCGGCGGTGCGGAGGACGGTGAGCTGGGTGCCGTCAATTGCGGCGAGGATGGCGCCAGTGGCGGAGTCGAAGAGAACGTATGCGGCGTGGACTCCGGGGAGGCCGCGGGCGGAGTTGTCGGGGAAGGAGGTGACGAGCTTGACTCCGATGTAGGGGGGGCCACCGGAGGAGGCGGCACCGCCGCTGGTTGACCAGGCGGGCATGAGGAGGAGGGAGGCGGAGGAGGAGGGGTCCACGGGGAAGCTCTGGCGGTGGGGGGCGGTGACGGCGATCGCCGCCGGTGGAAGCGCCGCCTCCAGGTGGCTGAGGAGGGTGGGGAAGGGAAGGAGGGAGCGAACGGCGGCAGCGTCGAGGAAGGCGGCGCCGCCATTTGGGCTTCTCAGAGCGGCGGCGGCGGCGGGTGTGAAGCCAGAAGCCGCCATGCCCCCCCTCTCACGGGAGAGGGAATGCTGAACGCTGTTGAGGAGTCGATGCGGCGGCGTAGGCAAAATCCGCCCTTTGGCACCTGCGGGCGCTTCGCAGAGCTGCCGAACAAGAAGGAAAAAAAAGGGGACAAATTGGAGAAAACAAAGAAACAAAATATTAGTTTATGGTCTTTATTAGAGTTATGGCCATATAAAAGAATGCAGTGTGAGGGGAACCACATCAAACTGCCTTCCCCATATCACTCACTCATGAATACAAAAATCTACAGAGAAGATGATTAGAATTATGATAAGGATTTTGACGGACGAACACAAATGCTTTTCACCCTGTTCGATCGGCAGATCTCGGAGGGCTCCTCAGTGTACGTGAGCGCGGTCGCCAAGAAGCTGCTCGAAGCCATGGACACACCGCCCCCCGCTCCCACCCCCCAGCCTCCAGGGTTTCTCAGCCTGTCCCTCCCTTAAGACTCGTCTCCTTTTTCTCTCTCCTCTGTAGTCCTGTCCTGCTGCTCTTCCCAACCCAGGAGGCTCTTCGTGGATGAGCATCTCTCTTATAGATGGCGTTTCAACCCGGATCCGAGTAGAATATTAGCGTCTTTTATATTCCCCCCTCATTATTATTTAAATATCCTCTATAATTAAATAAATATATTTAATGGGGTTGCCTCTCTTATAAAACACTTTAATGTTGAATTAACTCGCCATGGGCCGAGTTGAGTCTGCTGGGTTGGGTCGTCCTCGTCATCTGTCCACATGGCGAATAACTAGCAGGTATGTGGTGAGTCAATTCCCTCGCCGACACGTGTGCCGGCGCCGCGGCGGCTCGATCTCTATAACCTCTGTCTCACAAGCGGAGGAGACCATCCATCAGAGAGAAGAGTTCGAGAGAGAGCGCGAGAGAGAGAGGATGCAGGGGGCGAAGGAGAAGGTGGGGGACGCGGCGAGCTCGGCGAAGGAGAAGGTGAGGGAGTTCAAGGCGAAGGCGGAGGAAAAGGCGGAGAAGGCGGCGGCTGTGACCAAGGGGCAGAAGGCGGCGGCACACGAGCGGGCCAAGGCCAAGGAGGCGGCGGCGGAGATGGAGAAGCACCAGGAGAAGGCGGAGCACCGAGCACAGAGGGAGGCCGCCGGAGGCCACGTCACCCACGTCCCCCTCTCGCACGTGCCGGGCGCGCACCGCCAGCACCCCTTCTCAGCGGCGCCGCCAGACCCCCGGTACCCGGCGGCGGCTCCCCCCGCCGGTGAGAAGTTCTTCTAGGCGGTGTGTGTATCGGTACAACTTTGGAGGAATAATGGAATCTCTACGTTTCCACTTAGTATCAACTCTCTTTCAAAACTCTCTCCAGCTGGTGAGGACGGGGTGGGCCTGGTGTATGAAGCTCAATATGGGCCCATTAGGGTTTCGAAAAGCCCAAGTTAATCTGGTTCATACCCATTCTCATCGTCTTTAGTTAGCATACAAGGACAGTTCCAGTCGGCCACTGGTTACTGCAAATAACAACATAATCAACGGCGATTAGATCATCTGATCTGTACTAGGTTTGAGAGAAAAAATGTACGAATCTCGCTCCCCCCCCCCCCTCTCTCTCTCTCTCTCTCTCTCTCTCTCTAGAGAGAGAGAACATCAGGCCCACACAAGGAGGCGCATTAATTCTACCGGCCCAAGAAATAATTCATAATTGATTCAAAGCCTGAGTCTCCATTCAGCTCGAATTCCAGCTCTCTCTCTCTCTCTCTCTCTCTCTCTCTAGAGAGAACACCAGGCCCACACAAGGAGGCCCATTAATTCTACCGGTCCAACAAATAATTCACAATTGATTCAAAGCCTGAGTCTCCATTCAGCTCGAATTCCAGCTCCTTAACTACATAATCCAATATACATAAGCTTAAGCTGCCAGATGGATGAATGATGAAGGTTCATATGAGAGATGAGCGATGAGAGAGAGAGAGAGAGAGAGAGTGAGAGAGAGAGTGAGTGAGAGAGAGAGAGAGAGAGCTCTCAGCCTCTCAGGCTAAGTATAATCAGAATTCACAAATTAGGTCAGAAGCAGAATGAATCAATGATGCCTTCCTCTAATGGGCTCAACCTGAACAATAGATTCTTTCTAGTTATTTCACACAATGCCCTACCTCGAAAGCAAACATTGTTCATAATTGCCAAATAAATCAGTGTCTCCTAGCATACAGTCTTGAACTCTTCCTACAAGAAGAAAACAAAGATGTGTTCTTTATCTTCTAGTGAGAATCAGACTAGAAGAAAACCATTTCAGTACATGAAATATGTGCACTTTAATGCACATGCCAATCTTTTTCATGACCAGTCATGTAAGTCATTGGGTACTTTTACAAGGTTGCACACTGCTTGTTGGGATGATATGTCATATCAATCCTTCATCTGGTGCTTCACAAAATAGTCATTTAAAATTGAGTATCCCACATATGCCTGAAGAAGTGCTAGTATAAGTCTTTGTAAACTATATATAATTCTTTTTATATGGATTCTATTATAGATGTCCTCACAATACATTTTCCCTAAACATGAGGAGGACTTGAAAAGTCATTGAGATCTAATGCAATGAAGGGTACTCAAGAAATTATGATAATTTTCAATCATAAAATAATGATAATTAGGAAAGAGATGAATATAACTTCTGATGATTTCATGTTCTGAGAAATATTGACAGGATTGAGTTATCTAATCCTCCATTTGACTAGTGAAAATAATAAAATAATTAGATTAGAAAAGTATAGGGACTTTGAAACTTGCAAATATAGATACAACAAGAATACAAGGTAGAGGTAATGGTGTCATAGTTATAGCGTGTCAACTCTCAACTCAACTCTCCCTTAAGTTTATAGTGTGTCATAGTTGTACCCTACTTAGACAAAAAAAACCTAACCTTTACTACATATAGTTGTCTAGGGTTTGAGGGTGAGAGAGGGTGAGGGCCTTTCAGAGGTAAATAGTCCCCCACTGTGGCCTATTAGGCATATTGTCTCTTTCTCTTTGGAGATTATACATGATTCAGCAGCCCATTAATACCCAAGTATCATACATTACCTCCCACTGCCTCTAGCACCTTGTCCTCAAGGTGCAATTTGGGGAAGAGTTGTGTCATTTGTACCACTAATTCCTAAGTGGCCTTAAAAGAAAGAAGGTTATGCTAGTAGATTAATAACTTTGGGCCCCTAGTTAACTCCTCATGTCAAGGACCATCCATTTTAGGTCATTGTCTAAGCTTCCATGCAATAGTTGGCAATTGTGTGATGAAACTCAAAGCACTCTTGATATGTGATACATGAAAAACAAAGTAGATTTTGGTTGAAGGAGGTAGGTCTAGGTGATAGGCGGTGTTATCAATGCACTCTATAACTTTGAAAGGTCCAAAAAATTTGGGTGTAAGCTTCTCATTCTACCTCTACACGATAGTCTTCATATGATAGAGTCGTAGTTTGAGATATACTTAATTAAGCTCATACTCAATGTTCTGTTTGTGATGGTCCACAAATTATTTCATATGTACTTGGACTTGGATGAAGTTATTTTTGACGGTGTCTAACATCTTGTCTCATGTCTTGAAGAAATCTACCAAGATTAGAGGTTTCACCAATAGAAGGTCTGTACTATACAATGTACGAAAGAGATTTATTTGGAGAGAGTAGTGGAATATTGAGTTATATCACAATTTGGCCCATGTGAGTCATTTATTACACTAATGAGGCTTGTCAAATGAGAAGCAGTGGAGCAAGGTCTTTAGACATTTGTTGACCTGCTTTATTTGTCCATCTATTTGAGGATAGAATGTTGTACTTTTCTTAAGCTTAGTGCCTTATAATTTGTGAAACTCTGTCCAAAATTGACTAAGAAAATTTTTATCCTGATCTAAAACTATGGAGCAAAGTGGAGCAAAGAATGTTGAAACTATCCAAAATCTATTGTTGTTCCAACAAAAAATTTAGAGTGTAGTGGTTAATAAAAATGATGAATAGCTGCCCAATAAGATAGTACCATCAATTTTGGATGGTAAGAACTATATCTATCAATTCTCACTCATAGATGAGTTTAACTTGATTTTGTAGAGATAGAGATTGACTGTAATATAATATTAGCTGCTGGTTCTACATAAAGACTTCTCTCAACTTTTGGCCTAAAGCATCAGCAGCGATCTTAAAGGTTTGTGTGAAATTAGGTACTGCCAACACTAGTGAGGTACATATCATTGCCTTCATGTGTTGAAAAGCTTGTTCCTCTATCTTTGTCCATTTTTTGAAATTATCCTTCATCATAAGTTGGTGACTGGGTTCGTAACACTTGAAGATCCTTGAATAAATCACATGTAGTACCCCGTGAGGCCTAAAAACCCTCAGAGCTCCTTGGTGTTACAAGGTGAAGGCCATTTATGCATAGCTTCCAAATTTCTTTCACAATTTCAACCCTATCCTTAAAAATTAGTGGCCCAAAATATATTTTTTTAAACTCCACCTTCTTACAAACAAAAATACATTTTATGTGTAGATGTGGAACTATGGCAATTGAGGGCAATGAATGCAATCTATAGATGCTCTTGTTGTTCCTCTCAAATATTGTTCTACATTAAAATATTATAAAAACACTCAGAATAAATTGACACGTGCTGAAAACTTGATTTATTAGAGATTGAAATGTTGGAGTTATTTTTAAGCCAAATGACATCACTATGAACTTGTAGTGAACCTCGTGGGTCTTAAATGCCATTCTTGGGGATATCATGTGCTCTCATTCAAATATGATGGTATGTGGACTACATATCTAATTTAGAGGTCTTAGCACTATGTAATCCATCTAGGAGTTTGTCAACTATTGAAGTAGAGAAATTATATGTTACAATGATTTTGTTTAGAGCCCTATAGTCAACATAATCACTAGCTCATTGTGTATTGGATGACTCACTTATTCAACATTTTATGGACCAATAGTTTCATTGCATCTTTCCACACATGGGGGTAATAGTACAGCTAGACATGGACTGGTTGTGCCCCTCTAGGAGGTGAATGGCATGGTTAACCTCAAGTGGAGGGGGGAGTGTGCTGATTGAGGTGAAGACATGAAAATTTTGACATAAATTATTCTATATAAGGACAAGGTAACTTTGTTGTTGTCTCTACTTGTTATGTCCCTTTTCTTTGCGAGTTGTAGTTTTTGCTTTTAGTTGTTGATGTTTTTGTTATTGTTGATTATAGCTAGCTTGTTGTGTTGCTCGTTGTTAAACTATTGTAACAATAGGTTATAGCCACTATGGTGTGGGGCAAGTTAATACCTTCTAGTAAGATGAATTTAAGGAACAAACCTAAGTTATTAAGTGATACATCTCTTTACAACATCAAATTTTTATTGTTAATTTTGAACTTCATAATCAATAGACTCTAGTGAATCTTGGTTTATGTTAGTGTGTGGAACTATTGAATTCCAATAAAAATATCTTAGTTGTGTAGTTTGAGAGGGAGAAAGTTTTCCATAATTTTGATGTTTTAGACTTCTAAGATGATGCCCATATAGATGTCACTCCCCCCAACTAATGTGCTATCTCCTAACACAACTTCATACCTGACGTGACTCAGTCGTTGTATGTTAAATCACGCAAATATAAAATTTATAAAACTAGAAAATACGAATTTTCGGATATTTAGAAGTATTTCTAAATAAATATATCAATTATAATTCAATAAAAATTCCAAAAATAGCGGTAATTTTCCAGGTCGATCACAGGGATGTAATATAATATCTGGTAATTATTCAGAATTTTTCTCAATGAGTACGATTTTCTTACGAATTTTATACTAGGAAATAAAAAGGAAATATATTTAAAATTCACGAAAAAAAAAGGAAATAAGGGTGCGGACGTCAGGATGACGTCAGCGCCCGGCGAACGCGAATCAGGCGGAAACACAGTTCCGCCCGGCGATTCTTACGTAGGCGATTACAGACGACTCAATTAATCAAATTAAGATCTGTAAAAGCCGGAAGAATCGTAGTTGAACGAAGTATAGTTTGGTAAATAAAAATCAACAAAGTATCACTAAATGAAGCGTAAATTAAATTGAAAGCAGGAAAACAGAGTTCCGGCGTCGCGACGGCGACGCGTCGGCGATGCACCGGAATCCTGAGCGTTCGGGAGGGTCGTCGTGCAGTGTCCACGGCCTCGAAGGCTCTCCTTGGACAAAGACGACGTGGGCAATCTCTAGATAAAGCAGGAAAACAGAGTTCCGGCGTCGCGACGG